AGCTAAATCATGAAGCTGTAAATTTTCTACATCGTGTTGGTCAATTTTCGGTCTTACATTGGGAACTTCTGGAGAGGGGTTATTATTTATGGCGTAAATTATCTTACATTTGGTTTCAACAGGGACATTTTTGTCGAACAGACAAAGACCAACTAACTCATCTGACAAATACCATAAATGACCCATCATTTTTTTTACAGTGGCTTTTGAAATATGTGGATTATCATATTTTATTAAGGTCTTTATCAGTTGCAAGTCATTATTTGGAGCACATGCCGCCAAAGTTGCAGTGAACCAATTTTTTAAATGGACGGTTACAATGAAAACACATATTTCCTCGAGGCCCCTTTTTTCTTTGGTACTTAGATGAAATTGTTCACTAAACATAAATATTTTTAAACAGTAAATTACTTTTGACATCCAACGTGAATGACTAGTAGCACCTGGAGTCATAAATTTTATTCCTCTGGTGGGTTCTTCACCAAGAAATATAACTGATAATTCCAGCATCTCACGATAATCATCTCTTACTTGTTTTATTTTAAGCATTTCTTGGCAAAAATTAACTAGTTCATGTCGTATATTCTCTGTAATCCTTTGAATAATAGCCAAGTTTGCTATAACGTATGCAGAATGATCAATTTTAGACCAAGAAGATCGAAATCGTACTAACATTCGGTTATCAGGGCCTGTTGTCGCTGAAGGTAACACAAAAAGTCTAAAAGCTACTTAAAAGCAGAGGAAGTTTTTAAGAATCTTCGAGTTACCAATGACGTGGCAGAAAGAGGAGTTTCATTGATCCAAGACCTTAATCGCAAAATTACCCATGATGAGGATCAACTTCAGTTTCTCTTACAAGTAGTTTCTGAGCATCGGAAGATTTACCCTGATTGCAGCAAACAAACTTTAAAAAAAAGCAATTCAACTTTTATATAATTTTTTAATTCTTTAGTAAGTAAAATTAGAAATGTTAAAAATGATTTATATAATATAGCTTGACTTATTGATAAAAAAATATAAGAACGTATACATAAAATAGTTTTCATTATTATTTTATTTTTTTTTTAAGTTAAAAATTTTCAAATAGCTTGGGATGGCTCAAAAATTAATTTTTAGTGTTTTTTTTTTCTTGAGAATTGTATATAAAACCAGGTAGAACAATTTTCAAGTGTAGGAGTATAACTTAAAAAAAAAATTTTTTTTTTTGTCACTTTTAGACCACCCTAATATATATATATATATAAATGTAAATAAAAAGAAATAAATAAACATCAATGTTTTATATGTGTTAGAATATTTATATCACCAAGAGTATTCTACCGAAAATAAGATGTATAATATTTTCAGTAATTACGACAGAGGGTAAAAATAGTGCAGATTTTATATAGAATTGTAACTAGAATGAAACATAAACTCACGCACATTCACTTTTGTATTTTGGTTGAGAATTCCAGAGAGCCGTAGAGATGCAGAGATAGAATGGCAAGGCGTCCCAGTATCCGCTAGAGGGATGTTCAAAAATCGTACATAACCACTGTAAGAGAACCAAGCACCCGAATTTGGGGAAAAATGACCTTTTTATAGCCCGCAAAACTGGTTTAGCGATCTCTGGTGAGATTCTTGAAATATTTTTTGCTGTATTTGATTGGTAAATGTGATAGAATCTTTTACGTAGGTGTTTTATGGAATGCGTAAGAGGGTGGTTAAATCTTGTGTAGGGGTATTATTTTATTATTCATCTTATCCACGGGGAAACACTGATTTGGTGATATATTTTATTAAATATAAGTATTAATTATTACATGTATTAAAATGTGATACTACACTTGTAGATTATATTTTGAATATAGATAAACATATATAATAAAGTTTCTTAAGTTAGAAATAATAAATCATTATCGCAATAGAAGTAGATTAGAAATGGGGGCTTATCAATTACATTTAAAACTTTCTAATTTTTTGAGTCAATCACAGTGGGACATCTTCGAGCTGAAGATGTACCAAGTGGTTGAACATAAATTTAAAACAAAAAAAGAAAAGTTAAATAAAAAATTTCAAAATTTACTTTCAGAATACAAAAATAAGGGTCAAATAGATAATTTTAATAAGAGTCCGGTAGTTTCATTTTCTAAAAACTGGGGGGACGATTTAGTTAAAAATTACACAAACATTGTTTTTTCCGTTGAAGAAACTGAAATACTTAAGTTGGGTCTTAAAACAAGTTTTTTACCAAAAAAATTTCCAATGGAAGATCTACTAGTAGGAATTGAAATGGGGGTTAAAAGTGTTGATTTTAATAATCAAGACTTAGCAAGAAGGGAGTGTTTAAATTTTCTACAAAAAAATTCTGTTATAAATAAAGGGGGTTTAGGAAAAAATGAAAAACATTCACGACTCATAAAAGACTTAAAAAATAAAAACTGTTTTTATTTAAAGGCAGATAAGGGGAATTCTGTTGTAATATTAAAAAAAGAAGATTATTATGAAAGAGTATCAAGAATGATTCAAGAGGGTCCTTATAAAGAAATTAAAAAGAATCCATTAAGTAAAATGATAAGGGAGGCTACAAACGTCATAAATAGTTCAAAATTAATAATCGAAGAAAAGTTCAGGTTTTTCATTAAAATTTCAAACCCTCAAATACCTAAACTATATGCTTTGCCAAAAATACATAAGCCAGGAAGTACTATGAGACCTATTGTGTCGAATATTAATGCTCCGACTTACAATTTGGCTAAACACCTAGTAAGGGTATTTTCATCTTTCAAAAAATTCGATAGTTTTTCAGTTAAAAATAATATTGATTTAGTTAAACAATTATCTAGTTATACCATTCAAAATAATGACAGGTTAATTTCTTTTGACGTAGTTGCCTTATTTCCGAATATTCCAATAAATATAACAATTGATTTTCTTAAAGACTGGCTAAAGGACCAAAACATTGAACAGGATAAAATAAATGAGCTTATTAATTTAACAAAGTTATGTATGAGTCAAAATGTTTTTCAGTTTCAAAATAAATTTTATGAGCAAACTGAGGGCACAGCAATGGGAAATCCGCTATCACCATTTTTAGCAGAACTTTTTATGAGTAGGTTTGAAACAAATTTAAAATACACTTATGGTGATTTTCCAAAAATTTGGGTTAGGTATGTCGATGATATTTTTGCAGTTATAAATAAAGATTTTAATATGGGGGTTTTCATACAACATTTAAATTCTTTTTACCCATCGATTAAATTTACATATGAACAAGAAATAGAGGGAAAATTGCCTTTTTTGGATTTATTAGTTAAAAGAACAGAGGGGGAACTAAATTTTGAAATTTATCGGAAAAACACACACACGTTCAGATACATTCCGAACACATCGAACCACACCTGGCAACACAAATTGTCAGCTTTTAATAGTATGGTTTACAGATTAATTAATATTCCGATGAATAAAATAGATTATGATAAAGAATTGGTGGTTATAAAAGAAATAGCTAAATTTAATGGGTATAACGAAAACATAATTTTGAAATTAGTCCGAAAACAAAAGTGGAAAAAAGAAAGGAGGGCAGCTAGTACACTCTCCAGCGAGGGGGAACAAAAAGTAATTAGATCACCAATTTTATTTTATCCGGGCATCTCAAATGGATTAACTAAAATATTTAAGAATTTTGGTATTACTTTGGTAACATCTAAGAGTAATAATTTAAGAGATTTATTAGGTAACCCTAAAGATAAGGTAGATGAAGGGGGGAAATCAGGCATTTATAAAATACAATGTGAAAGTTGTAATAAATGTTACGTAGGACAAACAAAAAGAAATATAGGGGTCAGGTTTAAAGAGCACTTAAGAAATATTAAAAATCAAGAAATTGAGAAATCTCCAGTGGCTGAACATTTATTGACACATAATCACTCTATTAAAACCATAAAACTAATTAAAAACGTAAATAATTACAAAGAACTTAATATCAGAGAAGCAATAGAAATGTTTAAAAATAAAAACAATTTAATTAATTGGGATCTTGGCCCACTGAAAAATTCATTATTAAACTTGTGTAAACTGGCAAAATGTGATAATATTACTTAGTGATAACGTCACTAGGTGATAAGGTCACTAGGGGTATATAAGGGAGTTTTTTCTAGTCGGGGTGTCAGTATGTGTTTAGCGTTGATAATGGTAACATTGTTTCCGAAATACGTATCCGCGACTTTTCATTAATTTTTTTGTGGCTTTTGAGTTTAATATTTTTAATATTTTTTAGTTTTTTTAAATTAATAATATTTTTAATATAGTTTTAATTTTACTTAGATAAACATATTCTTATAATTTTGTTTTGAGAAGTTCAGAGTGAGTTTTAAAAATATCCATATCGACTATAGGGAATTTTTCGAAAATATTATTTGTAAAAACCTAGTATAATATGCAAAGAGTTTGAGAAGCATAAAAAAATTAATAAATCATAATAGACGCAGGCCCCATTGTATAGAATCCTTTTAAGTGCGTATTTTATAAACGACTTTTATTGTCGAGGTAATAAAAGCCCATATTGATGATTAACATCTAATATACATATAAATCTCTTTAATCGAATTAATTTAGACAACTATGAAAGAAATGTAGGTAAGTATAAATGATTATTTGCATGTTTTACTCCTTAAATTTTCACGTAATAAACAAAAATAGAATGAGGTAATATTTGTTGAGTCGTTTAAATTATTAAGGCTAGAATATATAAAAGTCTCATACCGAGACCCCTATAAATCAATCCAACCCACTCACTATTCTATTTTCCCCATTTTATATATTATTTTGTTTAATTTTTGGTTATTACAGTAATATACAATTCATTTTTTTTTATAAAAATTCCAAAAAATAGAACTATAACCTTTCATAGATAAAAAAAACATAAATAAAATAATAGATTATTGTTTTTATTTTAAGTTGATAGGTTGTACAATTATTTGGGAGCATTAATTTTACCTCGAAAATACACCAAATATTTATCATATATAATATTTCATATCAATTTGTTAATAAATTAATTTCTTTAAAAAATGATTTATTTTATAAATTATCTAAATTAATTATTTAATTAAAAAAATATTAGTGTGTTTTTTCTATTCTTTTTTTTATTCTGCTTAAATTATTATAAAAGTTTTTAGTGGAAAAATATACATATACGAATATCAGTATACTCTACGTATTGTACTTATCAAACATTATTATATTCTATTTTCAGAATTAAATTATATTCTGCGTGAATTAAGCTAAAAATAATCTCTAACTTTTCCATTATTTCATCTAGTGATTTTGGTATAAGATGAAAATCGTACGACTTGACATCTCCGTGAGGTTCGGGAAATCCATTAAATAATATATTAATTACATCTTGTGGTAATATATGTGTATTTGAATCATTGGATTTTGAATCTTTAGACACTTCAAAATTATATTCTGTCAATTCTTCGGGTGTAAAGAAATGGCTTGCGAATTCCTTTATCAGTACTTTTAATTTATACATTCTTCTCTTTTCATCATGTTTTTCACGATTCAAATACTCCAAATAGCTACTTAACTCATCGTAATCCATGAAAGTAAATTGAGCTATTCTTAATTTTTCACAAACTTTTAAAAATGTTTCCCAATAATATTGTGGGAAAAAATTAATTAATTGAGCCTCATAGGCATATGTAACTAGCAAAAGCGCATATTTTGTAGTTCGATCATAGATAATTTTTTCTACCGCGTGTTTAATTACAAATTGAAGAGTTTTTCCGTATGTTATTGAATTGTTAATAAAATCTTCAAGTGTTGTATAAGAATTTTCATTAGATTCCAATTTAACGAGATCCTTTTTGACATAATTCCATAAAGACGAGTTTTGGATATTTCCTAGTTGAACTTTTATTTCTTCATCATAAATCGAATCATTTACCAAACTTGTATCATTAGCAATATAACTCTTCTGTAAAAAATAAATTTAAAATTTATATCTAATAGTACATTTTGAAAATCTATATTTTAGGGTCTGTCATAAAATATTTACGGCAGCCAAAGTTAATTTGATTCATTTTGTTATTTTTTTTGTTGTACGAATTAGCTTATAACTAGAAAGTAAAAATTAAATAAAAAAAAACATGTAGATGTCTCATTTTAGACTAAAAACAAATATTAACTGATTTTACGAGTTTTTTATAAGGAACAATGTCACCCTATACGCGACCTATCACTTATTGGGCCAGAGAAACTTTGGTGATGAATGGATAGACTAGTAGGTCATGAAATATTAATTTATTTAATGAATAATCTGTTTGTAACAACAGAAGTATCTTCTTTTTCCTCGCCTTAATCCCAACTACTTGAAGTCGGCCACATTAAATAACAAAATTTGTTATTTAATGACAATACAGAAAAATATTAGGTAATATAATTTAATAATTCCAAAAAATGTTTTCTTTATACTTATAACTAAAATTCTAAAAGAAATATTGAACACAGAATCATTAAATTTATTATGCATTAAAAGTTTTTCTATGTAAGTATATGTGATTTTCTTATACTATTTGTAAAATTAAAACTAATAAATAAATTAATAATCAAAATTCTAATTAAAATATAATGTTTTGTACTTTTCATAAATACACTGTAAAAAATGATTCAAAAGTTAACACACGTCAGAATGATATTATTAATATACACGGTCATTTTACACACAAGTAGTGTACTTTTGACATAAATTATCAAAATTAGCACACAAATTTGACATTATTATCAAAGGCTTCAGTCCGTTTTCAAAACGTTTAAATCGTAATGATTCAAAAATTATAACTAACAAAAGATAATTGTAATCATAAAACGTAAAAAATATTTGTATTGATTAACGAATTATAACGATTATAACAACAATTAAAAAAGATAGCATTTTTTTTAAATTAATTTTTTTATAACATAGTTTTTTTTAATTTCTACCTGAGAATACAAAAATTCAAAATAAACGAAATAAAACAAAACGAAAATATTGATGATTTGTTATAACTTGCAAAGTACAATGAATTTAGGGAAAATATAATTACAAGTAAGTTAGTGTTTCTCGACGTAAAAACCATGTGAAGGAATTTCTTACATGCGATAAATGATAGATTAATTCCTAACAAGATAAACAATATCATAATGTTATCGCATACGGAAATCATTATAAATCCATAACGTTTTAATTGTCTAAAATGTATAATGTAATAATGTTGTTAACCTTTTAATTGTTATGACGTTAAATAAAATAAATAATTTTGATTCAAGTCCTGATTTTATTACTATTTATCAAAATTTTCCCTTAAATTTTACGCGTTAAAAACTTCCAAATGTATGTGAAAATTCGGACATTTTTATAAAGAGTGTAATTTTTTTAAAGTGTTTTAAGCATAAACATTTAATAATGGGACAACATAACGTTTTGATGCAATTAATTTGTTCATTATATATTTTATTTATAACTTTCACGTCCAAATATATTAAAAAATACATTAAATTACACTTAATGCACTTTATTATTTAAAAAAAAACCTTTTGAAATATTACTTTTCGAATTCGACCTGTTAGTAAATCTGTGAATTATTAATATAGAGCTATTATATGGTAATGATCAAAACTTATTGAAGCAGTCACGTTTATGTGTTAAAAAAATATTACGAAAAATACCAAATGAATACACATCCAAAAAATTAAAATCATCAAATTTCAGACTTCAATATACCTAATGTTTTTGCATCCATTGACATTTACAACAAAAATATCACGTCCAATTTTTTTGTGAGCGGTTTATGTATAAAAAAAATTTGTTCTACTTTTCCACACTGCTTCTTAACCAAGTCTATTACTATTGTAATGTGACACGGGCGAGAGATTCTCATCCTTACACGTTTCTAATCAGTAGTATTGCTACATTAAAAACTCATTTTAGATAAAGTACAAAACTTATTTCTAATAAAAACGTGCTTTACATGGTATTCCGGTTTTATACCCGTCTTCATTATTTTTTTTAATAATAACGAATATGAATATTAAAAAGGTTTAGAAAATAATGGTTTTATAAACATAAAAATTAACGATTCAACAGTTATTAAATGAAATATTAATAAACTAAAAAATTCCTTTTATTCGTGTAGGAATTTTTATACCATTTTCTGTTTTATTTACTTAACACATACACACACACACACACATATATATATATATATATATATATATATATAAATTGACCATTCAATATCTATGAGATATAATTTCGCAATGTATAATTTAAGTTATTTTAGGTGTCAATTTTTAAATACATTTTATTGGAAAAAAATCATTAATTTTGATTTGTATTTACATTTCTATGTATTCGTTGATGAGTTCTGCATTTATTTTAAATTAAATTTTACTTGTGAAAGTTTGAAATTTAAAGTCAAGTATACGTAATTATCAGAAACTTATTATTATTAATAAACTCACATGCATTTTAAGTACTTTGAATTCAACATTGTCGTCTAACTCTTCTATAAATGATTCCAATTTTTTAACACCATTTTCTGTAAATAATATGTTTTCATAATTTGTTAATTTTTTCAAAGGTATTAAAATGAATTTCTGTGTTGTTTTGATAATACAGTTATATGATTTAACAAGTGACACACGGATTTTATTTAACATGATCTATACATACTGTCGTATGGGAAATAATATAATGCTAATTTGTGCTCTAATACGATACAATCTTCTTCAAACGTCTTAAAATATAAATAACAGTAATTAAAAAATATATATATATTTTATGATATGGATAACTCAAAATCATAATTGAATCTTTTTTTTAGTTTTGATGCGAAGCTGAGAAGGTATTAATTTTACTATGTTGTGTTTTTTTATGTCTGTCGTCACTTTTTCTCAGCTCTCACTGGACTGATTTCTTTCAACGATACGTCAAAAGTTCACAAATCGTATTTAGGTGAAGACCTTGCCTTTAGAAATTGAAAAAATTGTCCTCGTTCCCCGTAAATGGATGAAAACCCCCAAAAATAAACAATTTAAGATTGGTAAATTTTGACATTTTTTTTTTAGAACTACCATAACTTTTTTAAAAACGAACAAATCAAAATAATATATTTTTATATTGAGACCTTAAGTATTTCCCTTTTATTTGATATAATTTTTTTTTAATCTAACCCTTTGTCTGCCCACAGGAGGATATTCAAAATAGCAACTTCTGCACAAAAGTTTAACTTTTTAAACATAAGTTCTGAAAATGTTCCGGAAATACCTCGAGTTTCAAACATATGTTAAAATAAGCTTTATTAAATTTATCGTTCACGTAAAAATGTCAGCCGTCGTTTAAAACATGCTATTTTTGTGTTAAAAATTTTCGATTTTCGATACCATGTTTTCAACTTTAAATTGCTATAAGTTATTGAAAAATGTATAAATCAACACACATTTTTATTTCAAAAAACTTTATATAAAATACTTTTATCCGACATACTTTTTTTTTAAACATACTTATTAAAAGTAGAACTTTTTTTAATTAAATTTTGAAAAAATCCTATCCACATTGGTATTTTTAACACGCTTATATTAGTTTCACGTGTATGTTGTTTGTTGTTTGTCGTTTGTTGTTTGTCGTTTGTTGTTTGTCGTTTGTAAGTTTGTAACTCCACGCGGCACGTGTTATTATGTCGCGTATCCCGTCGTGTATGACCTTGAGACTATACTGTTGTAACGCATTCGCCCCACCCCGCTCACCACTCGTAGAGAACAATATTTTCCAACCCGTAGACACGCGCTTATCATCAATTATATATAGATATATAACAAATTTTTATTGTAATTGACACAGCCCCGCGTCGTTTTACGCCGCGGTGCAAAGTCCAGCAAGTGCCGCACGGCCGACGACGTCCCGCCGCTATACCGTAGTCTTCTTCCCATTGTTAAAATAACATCGTCAACAAACTGATCCGCACTCGCGCACCGTCGTCATCTACGCTGCTAACCTATTGACGCCCGAGGATCACGCCGGACATCGCGTCTTCGACGCCAGCAAAAGTGCCGCGATATTATGCGAAGATTATATATTCCTACCGCCACCGCTAATATTAATATATATATATATATATATTTATATGTATATGTTAATATTCATTTATATATTCCTACAGCCGACGCCTCTGCTGCCGTATATGCCTCGTGTATAATGTTCCCTCCGCCATGCCCGCCCACATAAACACGGCTATACCTCATGCATGATACGTTTCCGTACTTAAGTCCCTTTAAATATATATATATTCTAATTACTATTAAAACTTATATATTAATACACTTTATTCTCATTAAGAGATATGTAGTGTATTCATTCCGATTACGGAGGATGATTCTCGTATCGTTATTTTTCGTCACTACCTCCACGTTACGCGCCTGCTGCTTTCCTTGGATGTGGTAGCCGTTTCTTAGACTCCCTCTCCGGAATCGAACCCTTATTTCCCGTTACCCGTTACAACCATGATATTGATATTAACTACTATCATAACATGAAACTAAAAAGTGAAAAATAAATATAGTTTAAAAAAACTAAAAAACACGCTTTTAAAGCACATCGAACTAAAAAGTTAAAAATAATTTTTAAAATTAACTTAAAACAATAATGAACGAAAAATACTAGTATTATTGTGAAAAAAAGCGTGGGTGCTTTATGCCATATTTTTTGTATATTGAGCGCCTGACGCTTTTTTTCACAATAATACTAGTATTTTTCGTTCATTATTGTTTTAAGTTAATTTTAAAAATTATTTTTAACTTTTTAGTTCGATGTACTTTAAAAGCGTGTTTTTTAGTTTTTTTAAACTATATTTATTGTTATTTATTGTTATGCTATTGAAAATTCATTCTATATTCATTCATACAGTCCATCTTATTCCTTTTCCTCGACATAACTTGACTTGAGACAATATAAAACAACGAACGTTAACGAACCCGCATGAGTATCAACGGGCACTGCGTTCATTCATTCTGTGTTTTACATTCTGAAATCTTTGCTCCACCCTTTTTAAAAGTTTTATTTAAATATACCTGATTTTTGTTTTTAAACATGATAAAGTTAACATTTAATCCAATTAAAAATTTCTATGAAGTTGCAAAACTTTTTTTGATTGGGAAATTTGAATTTTTATCACACTTTTATCATGGAAATCTATTTTTTAGTTCAAATATACTTGTATACTTGAATTTTCTATGAATAATATTGATAGACAACAGATATCAAATTCCGAATAATTTCGATGTCAGTAGTTTTTTTTTGGTAAAAATTCGATATCGATATTAAATTTTGATAATGTTACATTTTCGATATGGATTTAAATGGGCTAAAAAAATTTCAATTTAATTTAATTTTTATGTGGACCAGGTATATCTGTTTCAATGTTGCGTTTATTCTAAATCATCTATATCGAACATTATCATTATGTGAANTTATATCTATTTAAATGTTGCGATTAATCTAAACCATCTATATCGAACATTATCATTATGTGAAAGCTTGAATTTATTGACTATTAATCCGAGATTGTTACTAACAGTGATCTATAAATTGGCATCTATAAAAAATACTGTTTCTGCAATACATAGGTATAGTATTCGTCGCTCATAAAGTTTGTTAACCTTATTGCTTATTCACGTATGTTTTTAGTTTATGAACTTGGATAACAACGTGTGGTTGGGTTGGGTTTAATTGTTTTTTTATTGCCAATAACCATTTATTATACAATTTTAATTATTATTTTTATTTATCTACATTGCTGTTGTACTATACGATATATCATAATGTTTTTTGTAAAATTAATATTTTCTATAATGTGATTCTTTCATTATTAACCACTTAATTAGCCAATAATAAAAACAGACTACATAAATATATGATATTCAGAAATTTACTTGTCATTTCTTTTAGCTCCGTGTTTTAGTCAATTTACCAATGATAAAGTATTTTTAATGTTTATCCCTTATACTTTATAAGAGTGTTAACTTTCTTTTTACAATAATTTAAAGTAATGAATGGAGGTGAAATCCTCCTTCCACCAAGACATACATATTTTAATAAATAAAAATAAATGTTGAATAATAAAGTTGATATTCTTATAAATTATAGAGGATGAACACAAAAAATTCTTTTGACTTAAACACATAACTAAGAGAGTTTAAAAGTAGAATTATCAATATTATATTTATTTTTTGGTTAATTAAGTGGTCAATTATAAAAAAATTACTTTGTAAATATTTTTTACCATTACGTGCTTTATATATGTAAAAAATCATGTGATTAAATATACACTCATATAATAAAAGTAACATACAAATTTAAGAATTTTTTCTTTTCCTTCATCATAACATCTAAAAAAATTTTTCTAAAAAATAATAAAATGTAAGTGTTTTTTTAAATTTTTTACTAAAAATACATACAATAAATATTTAGAGTACTTTATTTATTACTATTATTATTATATAACAATATTAGCTCAAGAATTTTTCATACAGAAATTTTACAAGTAAAAAATATATTGCCACCCTATCCCCAATAAAACAAAAATGTACTTAAACAAGTAAATTTTACATTTTTTTGGAAGGGCTGATCTCTAAACTTTTTTATTGAGCACATTTATGATCAAGACTTACACGATTCGTACAAATTTCTGCAAAAATTTTGTTCACATTTACAAAAGTCTGAAATAAAATTTATAAATTTAATTATTAAGTTTGGTTATAAACAGAAATGATAATCTGGGTAGCAGTGTTGGGTATTTTTTATCTAGATAAAAATATTATTATCTTTTATCTTAGCTAGAAGACTGTATGAATAGTAATTTAAACGTAATCTTTGCGTCGGTCCTGACTGTAATACGTATAGGACTAAATATTGGGTACTGTCCGATATTATCAATTACTATATAATTGCTATTTTTGCGGTTGACGCATTGAAACACTAATCATTTAGGTACTAAGAAGCGCCAGGTCAGATTATTCATTTTCATGTAAAAAAAAACAATTTAAATAAAATTCAAATGAAAATATAGTGGACTATACTTTGTTTTCTTTTGCTATTAGCCAATGCAATAATACTAATAATTTATAGCTCAATTTATGTTAGTAATTTAAACATTGTAGTAAAATATAGTATAAAAATGTCACACAAATTATTCTTAACAGCTAAGATTTATACAATCATAAAAACGTTTAGTCTGACCTAGCGCTCCTTAGTGCCACAATGATAATTCTCCAGTGCGTCAACCGCATAAATTGTAAATATAATAATAAACGATACAAAGCAGTGACCAATCTTCAATTCATGAGGTGTTANTGATACCAAGCAGTGACCAATTTTCAATCCATGACGTGTTATAGTTAAGCCCGACGCAAAAAACTATAGACACTATGATTCATTTGTTGAAGGAAGGAAGACTAATACACACAGCGGCAGAGTTAAATCATTGATTGATAGCCACCATACAACTCTGGACACACGAGGTGACTAAATCCCACCTATCTTTGATAACTGTCCATACTCGAGGCATTATTGATATTCATCAATTGATGATGACAATAAATTCTATATTAATATATAAAAGTCACTTTATTTTTCTATCATTTATATCTTTCTTTTAATTTACTTCACTCAACTTTATTCATTTCACTTACTGAACCAACAAAGATGAGATTTTAACTCTGCGAGTGGTCGTCCAAGTAATTGAGACATACACACTAAAACGTTATATATTTATGGAATATTTATTTATTATGGAACATTTATGGAATTATTGTAGAATATTTATTAAACACGATGATACGTTTTAGAACTTTATATTGAATTTCTAATAATTTCATAAAATATATTCAAAATTGGTGGTATTTTAATCAAACTTTATATAATTATAGAGGAACACGGGAGAATGGTATGCACTTAAAGGAAAACTCATACTAAAAGCAGAAATTTATTTGTAAATTTTTATTTAATTATTAACTTCTTAGTATACTTTTTGGAAACTAACAGATTTTAGTTAAAGTATTTTTTTATTATTGTCACTTGATCCGCCCCCTTTTTTGCGTTTCAAAAATTACATACAGTCTCTCAAAACAGAATGAAGAACAATATTAAATTATTTCTTTACATTTTTACTATTATAATATTTTTATAAATAATTTGCACATTTTTCTACGACGTTATGTTTGATTTATTTATGTGCACTTGTTTCTACAAAGTATATGAGCAATATTACACTAAATAAGTTTCTAAAAAAATTTTTTTGTTATAAATTTTACAGTACATTATTCTAATCAAGTATACATTTACAGTTAAGATAACAATATTATCTAGAAATATTTATTAAAATCATCACTTTTTTTTTGTGACAATTTAAGATTAATTCGGTTTGTTTTGGGTTGGGGTCGAGTGATATGTAGAGGCTTGAAAGAATATTTTGTTCGGTCTGTTCAATTTCGTATTTAAGGCATTTAGTAATGATATGTTTTATCGTAATGAACATTTTAATCGTAATTGTTTTTTCGATTTGAGTCAAAAATTGCTACTTTACGTTGCCTTGGGTTGGGTTTGATTAGGCTTACTTAACAATGAATTGCACATTATAATCCCGTGTTACCCTATTTTTAAAACCGATTACTTTGTCTACATAAAATAATTTCTCACCATATGAAGATTTCCAAATTCTTCAGTACTCTATAATAAAAAAAAAAATTGTGACAGAATGTTTTAATTAAAATAGCAAAATGAAAACATAACCTAAGTGTTATCAAAGCTCTATAAACACAATTTAGTATCTGCGTAAGTTATTATATAATCATTGAATATAAATAATATTGATTTTCATTTAAAAAAAAAGTTTAATTCATAAAATGTAGTGGTACTAATTTTAATAATGATTGAAACTTACATCCTTTTTTACATAATAATATGGTATTCCATCCTAAATGAAAAAAGACATATTTGATAGTGCAATAAAAATTTGGTATTAATAACTGCAGTAAATATGAATATTATTCATTTTAATAATGAAGTACATGCAAAGAAGAAAATAATATGACTTTCTTAATTCTAAGAAAGTGTTATATATTTTTTATTACCAGATAATACTTAAAAGTTAAATAAAATGTATCTTGACTAAATTATTGAATTAAATATAGTTAAATAAACTTTATATAAATTACTTTGTGACTGAAAAGTATATTAGCTAAAATATCTTCAAGAAAAAAACACATAAAAATTAAAACAAAAGAATAAGTTTTGTAAAACATTTTTCATGAATATAAAGATTTTAACATTATAATTAACAGTACCTATGTATATATTTTATTAATTTACTATAAAATTTTTACGTTTTTATAATCATAAAAAGTAAATAAAGTGTAAATTTTTTTTAATTGTACCTATATGCTCTTTATTTTTACATATTCGATGACAAATTATTAAAATAATGTTATTATTCAAGTATGAAATGTGAAAAATATTGCTATTTACTTTGCTAAAAATGACTATTTAATTAAGTTTAAAGACTATCTAATATACAATATAATACGAAATGTATTTTAATAAAACACAATAAAAATATTTTAACTTTTTTCTCTGTAAATATATATTTTTATAATATGCTAAATAGATATTGTTAAGTATTTTTTCTTTTTTTTAGAGAGAGTATAATTTATTGAAAAATTCAACACCAATATTTTTTTAATTTTCCTCTGGCCTGGCCAAAACAAAATTCAAAAATATTTATATCTATGTAAAAGATTTATTAAGGCGGAATTGTGGTGGCCCAATTTGTCCCTGCGCTAGCGCCTTGAAAGGATGCGGCACATTAATCACCAAGACAAAAAGTAAGCATTAAAAATATATTTGTACGTTTCTTTGTGCTGTCCGCCGGCGCGATGCTCGTTAAAGCAAAGACATTAAGCTCAAAGACTAAGTACCCAATAAGAAAAGATCACAATACATTTTTACTATTAAATAAAAATTTAAAGTTGGGTTGAATTTATTATTAAAATACAATAATTTAAAAAATTTAATGCTTAAAATATTATTTGATATTTATTTCCACAACAATAAAAATAAAATATTATTATTTAATGAACTAATTAAATTTAATTAAAAGATTCACCAAAACAAAATTAACTTTAAAATTTCTAAGTGTCATTTAGTTTTAATGAAAAATATTATAAGTTTAAATTAATTAAAAATCGACTAAGTCCCGGAGAATGAAATCTTGAGTAGTGTCGTAGATTTTGTGTATTTTAAAATCACCGAAAGAACTGGTTTAGACAGGAAAAAATATTTTTATAGTCTGAAGGGGGTTGCCCAGCGATCCCTATCGTGATCCTAAAAGCTGAGGCTTTGTATTCTAGTTAGTTAATTATAATGAGGGCCGTACGTGTAGGCGTTACTTAATAATCTCTACAATAAGTAGTTTTATACCATGATTAAAGGATTATTTTGTATTTTAAATAAGAGAACCCTGTTTTGGTGATCTTGTATAATCTTGCATATGTGACATACATGTACAGATGATAACATAATATTATATGTTAATATTATAAGAAATAATATAATATTATAGAAAAGTCGTTCCCAGAACCTTATAAACTAGGGGGAGGTGATTTTTGAAGGGTAAAAGAAATAAAATACACGAATCTTTTGAAAACAGAACGCTCAAGAAAGAGAGATTGTAATTAAGTTAAATTAAAGCAAATTTTTTAATAATAATAATGATAAAAAAAAAATTAAGTTAACAGGAGGCAAAACCTCCAATGGTCAGAAAATTTCAATTGCAAAAAATGGAACAGAGAAAAACAAAATGTACATCTACAACTTATACACTAGAGAATATAGCTCAATGGGGTCGTGCCACAGTGTGTACTTGGCCTAGTTGGCAAAAGTATACAATATATCTGACAAAATCACTATTATAAAAAAAGACGCTTCGATGCAAATCCGTAGATAGTATTTAACTTTAGAAGGATTATTTAATTATTCTATAAACAACATGAACTCCTATTTGCTTATTTATATAATGATTACAAGTTTTATGGTTTATAAGTATACTACATGAATTAATACTAATTATAGTAATTAAATTTAGTATAAAATTGATATTGAATAATTTAATATTGTAATAATTACGGATAAATTATAAAAAGTTATAAAATTGTTGTATACAGAGTGATTTTATTAATATTAGTCACTTCGATTACTTTTAAAATAATAACTATATCGATAAAATATTTTTATTATATTTATCAAGACTTCAAAAACTATCAGTTTTAAGGGAAGTTATCTAATAACCTTTTTTATTTAAAATATCATTTTAAACAAATATTACATTAAAAATTTTTTTTTGAATGCGAAAATTAAACTAGATAATTACAAAAAACCAAATGGTTGGAAGTTATCATAAATAACGAGTATTGTCGAGTTTTATTATTTTAACCAAAAAGTATTAACTAAACGCGAAATTGTAAGAAGATCTTTTTTATAGAAAATTACAATAGCTAAAATATTATATATTGTAATATTTTTCGTAAAACAAAGTCTGTAGCCTAAAAATGTAAATCACTGAAATTTTTCATATTTTTTCAAAACTTTGAGCTTTATGTGCCCCCAGTTAATGAAGTAGTATAAAGCTCAATTTTTTTAGAGATTATCTTTAGACATAAAGGAAAAAATTTACGCCCGGCGCTAAAGTTTCGTACAAAAATTTTCCTTCATATGTAAATAGCGGCCACCCTTATGTAAATATATACCAAAAAATGAAGAGGTACCTTCATTCATTCGTCACGTTACATATAGAAAAAAAGCACGGCTAGTAATGTCTAATGAGAATAATAACATACACCTAAGCATCACCTACACTCTATAATTATAATAGTTATAATATCCAAAATAACGGGTTAAAGTTTGTTATCGACTAGCTATTTTAAGTGAAACTAGGCACGGAATATGTCTAAATATCAGATTATTATAGAATACTATAGGATATAACTATATGATGATTAAAAAATGTTTCATTTTAGTGATATGATTATAAATATTAAAAAAAAAAATTAAAGGGATTGGTATGACGAATAAACTAGGCAAAATGTACCGTCCTGAATAGTACTTCAAAATGTACGAATACTTAGTGCTTCAAAATGAGCGTACCGCAATGACGATAAAGACTATCGTAAAAAATGTGCGGCGATCGCAAGGGCGACATATCAGCATTATTAACAACTACGAAAAAAAAATTGTATTGATTCATGCATTTTTCAAAAAGTTGTGGCGATATAAAATTAAAACTATATAAAAAGAACATCTAGAATTTTAATACAAAAATAGTAGGGGAGAATGGGGCACATTTGAATACGGGGTAGATTTGAAATGATTAAATAAAATTAGCTGTAGTGATAAAGTAAATTCAAGTAAAAGACAGAAGGTTAGTCATACTGTACCCAATATATGATATGTTCATCAGATGTCTGTTATTAATATATTCATAGCTATAAATAAAACTGTGTTTTTGAATTTTTTGTTACCGTTTTATTACCATCATAATAAGAGTTTGAGAAAAAAAACAAAAATATTCAGTAAGTATTTTACAAAACATACTAAATTAAAATATTATATTATTTTAAATGAGATATTATGGAATGTGATGCTGTATTTCATTGTACAATTTTTGATATATTTGTTGAAACATGCACTATGGGGCACAATTGAATATTGCAAAGTGGGGTAGATTTAAATTGGGGTTTTAAAATTATAATGATCTCATTAAATGTATTTTATTTTCAAAAAATGGTAAGAAATTATGTTAAAAAAAGGACAGTATTCGATTCCTTTTTGGTGAGCAGTTAAAGTGACAGTTTTTTATAAATCTATAAAAATTTAGATTTAAAATTTTTTTTTCTGAAACCAGACTTCTGTGCCAAAAATTATATATTGCAGTAAATATTCTGAAACGCACTAACAAATAAAATAAATTTGGTTTTTTAAAATATTAACAAGAGAAGGTCACGGAACTTTAATGAAATCAACTTTCATGCGAGCTTCAAATCCATCTTCTAAAGCTATTATTAAAAAATTGTTAATAAAAACAATATCTAATTCAATAATAAAATTATAAAAGTCAATATGTGTCAATATCATGTCCGACGTTAATCCTAATGATACCCGTAAGGATAGAACGAAAGGCCTCATGCAACTAGCATTAGGCTTGTTTGATCCCAGGTCTGGGGTGGAGTCTAGTAATCATTAATTTATTTTCATAAAAGTTTTTATTTTTAATTAATAAGTTGCACAATCATTTGAAAAATAATTATTTTATCACAAAATAATATTGACAATAAACAATGTATTTATAATATAGTATATTTTATGTCAATATGTTAACAAATTATTTTTTTAATTACTGAAAAAAGGTAGTATAAATTTTCTACTTTTTTTTAAATCTAGTTGATATAATTTTAATACATAAGCAAATGATATAAGACTGAATTATTTAAAAATATATATATATGATGTAAGATTATACAGAGTGTACAGTACGTAAGGAAACTTTTCAGTAGTTACAAAATTTGAGAACAATAGAAACCCGTTTCCTTAATTACTAAACTTCATTAAATAAGCTTCTGAAAAGAAAGACTATATTATGTTTTATATGTTTAATGATATTACGTATATCATAGTTTAACAAACATCCTGTAAACTTCATTTACTATTTTTCATAAGTTACCATTTAATTTTTAGATAAATTATTAAAATAAAATATATTTTTTATACGTTATCCTGATATTTATAAAAAAAAAATTGTTTTAACTATTTATTTGTTTTTAACTTATAACTTAACATAAAAGTTGACTTACCTCACTCAATAATTCCATACTACGTTGAATTGCTTTAATAGATATTTATTCATATATTATACTCATAAATCAATTACTAATTAGAAATAATTATAAAAATAGGAGTTAATTTTGCTTTTAGAATAATCAACCAATTTCTTAAAATTAAAGACTATCTAGAGATTTGCATCGAACCGTTTTTTATGATAGAAATTTTAATCACTGTCAGATATCATCTATACTGGATCATGAGTTCTTTTTAGTTTAAAAGGGTCAATTTATAAAGATTAATAGAATTTTTATCGAGGTACAGATTATTCGTAAATCAAAATACAATTGACTAAAAAGTCTCGAGCCATTGAGAGGGGTAAAAGTCAGGTTGAAAATTATGGAAATCAAAGATAATACAATAGTAAACCTACACTGAACAATGTAATGAACAATAATATTTGAAGTGGCATTCAGTGCATTACAGAGTTAGACAAAGTGGAGAATGATGGGTTGATATCTGCTAACCTGCTCGTTGAAGGAAGAAGAGGTAAAAAAAGGATGGAGGGATATTATTGAATACTATATGGGGACTATTTGATATGAGCGTAAATGATGTGAGAAATCGTGTAAAGTGTAAATTTAGGATAAGGATGGCCAATTCCAAATTATTGGGAAAAAGCGATGAAAAAGATGAAGAAGTGGCCTCCCCTTGTTAGGTATTGTAAAATAAAATATAATAAAATTTTAAAAGTTAAGTTGAAAAAGTCAACTTATTGTGGAAAAGTCAGAAATAAATGGCCAGATTTTCAAAAAAATGTATACAAAATAAGAATAAATTGCCTAAGGTTGGCAGTTTTAAGTAAAAAAAAAATCAAAAATGTTGAAAATTAACTATTTTTATCTACTCATTACACAATTTTCAAATTTATATCCTCTTAAATCTCTATAACTTTTGAATTGTCGACATAATGTTTATTTATGTATAATTTTTCTCTTTACAGCTAAAACAAGACTAGTAAAATCTCTATTTTAGTTGTGTTGTAGTAATGTCAATTATCTTTAAACCAGAATGTAAAATATTTTATTTAAAATTGTAATTTATGGTATAATTGTAATATCCTGTTCTATCGTTGGTAGACCAGGAAATGATTATTTATTTAAAATATTTGAGAATTTCTTGTTTTTTGTAGTATTATAACTATTATCATATAATTATAGTTGAGTTGCAATACTTATGGGTTGGGTTTTCTTATTACCAATGTCATTGTGTGTGTGAGTGTGGCTAGGTGATATACTTGCAATTTGAACTTAATTATGAAAAAGTAGAACTTCAAAAGGTTATTGATTAATTATAAAGATAAAAAAATACTGTATATAATACTGCTACAATATTTATAAGGGTGCAATTTTTTTTGATAGAAATTTTTAAAAATGTAACTGTAATAAAGCAAAACAAATAATAGATATATATTTTTTTTGAATTCAAAAAATATTTAAAATACAACATGTAGTTATTATACATAATATTTCATAACTAAATGTTAATACATTTTGTCTTTAATTAATGAATAAAAGTAATAGAATTTTTTATTTTTGTTTTTAAATCTGTATTAATTATTATAAAAGTTTTTAAAAAATAAATATATACTGGTATATTTTTATCGTATACAATGAATTTATCAAAAGTTACAAAATATTTTCATATTCTGCTTCAATTAACTTGAAAATTATCTTCAATTTTTTTTTTAATTTTTCTAGTGTATCTGGTATATCTTCAAAATTGTGCGGCTTAGGAAAATCTTTTAAAATATTATTTAATAAATAATAATAATTTATATCATTTGATATGAGCGTGTTCGATATTTCAGAATTTTCAGAATTATGATCGTTTAATTGTTTGGACGTGTTTAAAATATGTGTGCATTTGTTCGCCAAACGTATTAAAGTATCTGTTTTTTCATTAATATATATTTTAGATATGAAGTTTATTATGAGATAACTTATTGTATTATTCGTGAACAATTTATTTATAGCTTCATCCAATTTTTTAAAATATTTTATTAATTCTATCCAAAATGGATTAAAAACAAAACAATCATCGATTTTTAGTATCTTATAGGTAAATACAGTTAGTAAAAGCACATATTTAGTAGTTCGATTAACCATAATTGTTTTTGCCTCACGTAAAAATTCTCGAACAGTTTTTTTAAGCATTGTTGAGTTATTTAATAAATCTTCAATTGTTATATGGGAAATATTCAGAGAATTTAATTCAACAAGATCCTCTTTGATATAATTCCATAAAGACGAAAATTGGATATTATCTAGTTGATATTTTATGTCATAATTATAAACCGTAGAATTACTTTCAAGATTTCCATTCTGTTAAAAATAAATTAAAAATATATATCAAATTTGATTTTAATTACCATCATAACTTAAAAACATCTTTAATAACTTTTGTACTAGTAAATATTTTATTTTAAATTAAAAAAAATATGTTTATAATTATGTTAGTTAGTTTTTACATATTATGTTTTAACAACGTTTAAAACATATAATATAGTATTTATCTTTAATAAGAACAAAGTAAAATTAATGTTTTTATTTTTTCGAAATTTCCAAAGAAAAATTTTGTAGCAGTTTTCTTATAAATAATTTGATAGATCCGACGACAACTTATGTAGATTCTACATACCCACTACATACTTTACAGTGTAGAATAGGCGGAGGACACATACACCAGTATAAGCTTTACCCACTTGTTTTTGTAGCTCAAGAAGTAATTATCCTTAAGTCTTTATCAGTCCATTAAATTTTTTATAAAAAATATTTAAGTCCAAAGCGTTATAAAAATAAAAAACCCATCACAGGAGAGTAGTGGCATAATGGTGACGTAGCAAAATTGGATCAAGTATAATGATATCTGACAGCGATTAAAATCACTATAAAAAAAAACGCTTCGATGCAAATCTTTAGATAGTGTTTAATTTTAAAAAATTGGTGGATTATTCCAAAAGCTTCATAATCTGCTACTTTCTTATTAATATCCTGAATGAAAAAGGGATTATAAAAAAATATTATTTCTCATGAAAAAATTGTGTTGATCCATGCATTTTTCAAAAAGTTATAGCATTATAAAGTTAAAAATGTAAAAAATAAAATCGAAAATTTTCACACAAAAATAGCATTCGGTAGCCATTTTCACCATGAAGACAAAATAAAGTCCGAAATTTTTTTTTTTTCATAATAAAGTATATTACATTATCATTAATTTAAGATATATATATAAGAGTCTGACTTTTCGGAACACTTTTAAAAGTTAAGTGTAAAAGTAAATTTTTTGTGAAAATGTTGTCATTTTAAATCCCCTACTATGGGCAGATTAAGTATCAGATTTATAAAAAATATACACCAAATGATAGGTAAAGATATCAAGCATCTTTAAAAAAAATTATATTGATTTGGTTATTTTTAAAAAAATTATGGCAATTTTAAGTAAAAAAATTGAAAACATTAGCAATTTTTAAATTTGTAATTTTTTTTGGAGGTCTCCACCATTTACGGGGAACGAGGGAAATTTTTTCAATTTTTAAGGGTAATGTATTTGATTAGATACGATTTGTGATCCTTTGACGTATCATTGAAAGAAATCCGTTCGGTTAGAGCTGAGAAAAAGTGGTAACAGACGCAAAACAAAAAAAAAAAAACACATCAATTAAAACCAATACCTTCCAGCTTCGCATCGAAGCTATTAAATCATTTTGATTTGAGCACTGTTTTATATAGGAATATAATTAAAGAATAGCCTGCCCGTAGTAGTAGTACCAGTATAAAATCAAACACAAATTGTATTAACTTGTAATATTTGTTAACTGTTACTAAAAGAACACTCATATATTAAATTTAAAAACTAGTACAATCGTGATATCGCCTAGTATGGATACTTGATCTCTTGGTAGACTCAATATATAGAAATATTGAATTAGAGTAGATTCCAAATACATTCTAATATTATTAATATGTTAAATTGACTTACGTAAATTCTAACTACTTCAAATATAATTTTATTGTGTAAACTGCTTATATATGTCTCCAAATCATGAATGCCGTTTTCTGTAAATAAAATGATTCATTATTTTATAGATTTTTGTATTATTGAATTATTGACAAATTTATTATGCATAAAAGTCATGTCAAAAAAATAATTATAATTAAAAATAAACTAACGTAACAAAAAAAAAAAAATCAGTGCATGAGAAATCGGTATAGCTGTGACAAGTTTAGATTATATCTGACAGTGGTTAAAATTATTATTATAAAAAAAAGCTGTTTATATATCTGTAAATAGTGCTTTATTTTTAGAAGGAATAGTTAAATTTTTCCAAAAGTAACATGATTTCTATTTCTTTAATTATACCCTGATTAAATGTTTTATAATTTATAAGTATAATGCATGAATATATACTTAATATAGTTATATCAAGTATAAAATTGATATTCAATTATTAAGTATTTTATTATTTTTTATTATTACTAAATTATTAATTACAAAGAAAAAAAAATGAGTTCGATTATTTTAATCCTCCTTTGCCAATTATAATTTCAACAATGAAATTGAAATTGTACTTAAAATTACAATTTTAAATAAAATTAGCTACAAATGATAAATTTTTATTACATTAAAATTATAATTTATCATAAGCCCTTCCATATAATATACATATTGGTTAGATATTAAATGTTAAAAAAAATCCTCCCTGAAAATAGTTATTATTAATACATGAGTCTTTATTATATGTGTATATATATATTTGTAAAATAGGGGGAGTTTACTCTCCTTTACGTGGACGAGAAAATTTTTTTTTAATTGTATAAATCTAATAATACATAAAAAATTCGGTTTACCTTTTGAAAATCAAAAGTTGATACTAGTTTAATGTATAAGGGATGTTAACAGAAAATTAGTGTTTCGTATAAAGCAGTTAAAAAAAGAATCATTATTGTTAAAAAAATGAAATAATGATTAACTTTAACATTTTCGATTTTAATTTAAGGGGCATGGTTAAGAAAACACTCTATATATTCTCAATATTTTAGTGGAAATCAATTGGTTAAAGAATAACATTTTTTATTTATACAGAATGATATCACTTTTTGAGAAATCCTACAACTATATTTGTATGGTACAGAACACCTTTAGAAGGATCTAGTTGACCAGTTGTTGCAAAGATCATTGATTATATTATTTCGTGAGACAGCTGATCACTAGCGTCTTGCTTTACTCACCCCCATCCATCACTTTACTAAATCATCACTTGCCCATCCATCACGGCAAATCGATGACCTCCGTGTCGGTTTTCATCCGTGTACAGTTCATTGTCGTAAGTCAGTCAGTCAATTGTTTTTNGGACAGCTGATCACTAGCGTCTTGCTTTACTCACCCCCTTGCCCACCCATCACGGCAAATCGATGACCTCCGTGTCGGTTTTCATCCGTGTACAGTTCATTGTCGTAAGTCAGTCAGTCAATTGTTTTTGTGTCATTTTTTTTCTGTAACAAGCGCCTTCGCTTGAATGGTAAATTGTATGCCGTTATTCTTTTATTTGTTTATTGCACCCTCGTGTTAAAAGTTTACGAGCCATTGCACGCCACTTGTGATTGGGCCCTGACCATCACTAAATATCTTCATTGCTGTAGTCGCTTTTTCGCGGTCTGTTCTCATCTGCTATTACGCACCTGGATTTACACTCTGACTCGTCATACTCAGTTATTCGACGCCATTACCACAAGATCTCATACAGTCCACTCATCATTATCAACAACTTAATATATTCAGCTGAGTTTATATTATTTTTTAATGTTATTTATCGTATGTTTTAATTTAGATTAACTATTTTGTTTTATGCCGCTTCGACGGCCACTAGTATTTAAGGGCCTCCCGTTATCCCTTAAATTTAAGATACTCTCTGAGGGATTTAATACATGTGGTTATTTGTTATTTAATTATTGTCTACTCTCGTTTACTTTTTAGATGTATAATTAGCCGTCATCATTCAGTTGACCCATTCCCGCTTCAATAATATCGTTTTTTAAGCAGGCTTAAGGTAAAACGGCATTCTAGTGTAGTGCACAACTAGTCGTCCTACAATATAGCTTCCTTGTACAAAACAATATTATTAAGAATTTTAAGACAACGTAGACTTTTTTCTATAAATATACGTAAAAAAATACTCTTTTTGCGCCACCGTTCTGACTTAAGAGAAATATAGCCATACTGTTATTAAATACCTTGCGCATAACAAAAAATGATAAGTTTTAATTTATCATAAATATACATACCATTGTATGAAAAGTAGCACTGCTTGTTTTCTTTTGTTACAACGATTTTTTTTTCTTCGAAATTCTCAAAAAGATATAAATTAATNGATTTTTTTTTCTTCAAAATTCTCAAAAAGATATAAATTAATTTTAATGAAATTAAAAAAAAAAATTAATTTGGATAATTAACTTTTGGAAAAGTTGCAATTTTAGGTTATGATTTTTGTTTGAACATTACAAAAATATACAAAATTATTTGAAATTGAAATAAATTCATTTAATTTTTAATAGTTTTAGTATGTTTTTATGTTTATAAAGTTTATTATTTACTTATTTAATTACTAATAAAATAGTTGATATTTTTAGGAAAAGTTACATACGATTCTTAGTTTGATTAAACTTGGAAACTTATTATCTTCATTGTCATTCTGAAATGAAATTTTAAAAATCCTTTTTTATTTTTTCCTTGTAAATGAAGTGTTTTAAAACGATCAAATAAAACAATTACTCACATAATTTATATAAATTTCTGCAAAAATTTTTGTATTTTTTCTTTTTACTTGAAATACCTTAAATAAATCAAAATAATGAGGTTAATCAATTTTGTAATTTTCGCCAAAAATTATACATTAATAAGGCAACAAAGATTTTAATTATTAATACTGAAAGCTATCAGATGAACTAATCATTGAAAAAATATCATTGAACATATCATTAAGAATTTATTAATGACCACATAGCAATTTCGATGTATTGACATTGGCAAAATATTCTTATAAAATACTTTTTAAAATATTTTGAAGCAAATATTATGACAATGTATCATAAATATAATAAAAAATATATTCTAATGAAATATTTCCATAATATGCTCACAAAATAATTTTTTAAATATTTGTTTATGTATATATTGAGAATATATTAAAGAGAATAAATACCGAATATTACACTAAAAATATTTCTACAATGTGTTTAAAAAATACCTTTTTAAATATTTGCTTATAAAAATTATGAAATATATTAATTAGAATAAATATAGAATATTTAATTTGAAATATTTGTTGAATATATTATCAATATAATTTTTTAAAAAATATCCGGATATAAAATTATATAATATAATAATTTATATTATATGTATACTGGACCCAACTATGCCACGTTCCCACTGTGCTGAATTTTTAATAAAATTTTAGTTTATTTTCAACAAGGCAAAACTTAAAAATTGCCAAATAATGGTAAACTTTTAATGACTGTGGCCATTACTCCACGTCTGTTTTTATGCCCTGTACATTTTTTATTATTAATTTTAATTTCAAGTTAAATCAAATCAATCTTAAATTATTTTATTACCAATTCTAAAATACCACACTGTACATAAGCCTGAAAAATTATAGGTTATAGTATTTGTATAATTATAGAACGATTAATAATTATGAGTTTGAAATAATATTAATTAGTATTGTAAAATAATGATTTACTTCTTTCTTTGTCCAATGTTGCTTCACTATTAACTCCGCATATGTGTTCTATAATATAACCACTGAATATAAATAATGTTGATTTTAAGATTAATTTAAAAAAAGCTTAATTTATGTAATTAATTAAAACTATATGTAATAAAAGTTGGAGCTTACAAAACTGTAACCATTACAATATTGTTTAATATTTACTTCCCTCTAAAAAAAAAAAATCAAGACTATCACAAAAAATTTGCCATTATTTTAAAATACAAGAAAAATTATAAAAATAAAATAAAATATTTGATTAAATTAGAAAGACAGTTCAAATTATTTTACTATAATTTTAGTTTTGTAAAAATGTGACATTAAACGAGATATAAATTTGATCAAATGGATTAGAAAATATGTAATAAAATATTACAATTAATTATTATTAAAAAATATATTTATGTAAAAATATATAATTTACTGGGCTAATAAAAATCGTCGCTGCAAAAACATTTTCAAATAAAAATTCACTTGTGAATACTAAAACAAAAGAAATTATTTTATAAAACATTTTTAGAAAAAAAAATTTGTAGACTAAAAGTTCCACGACAATTTTTTTATATATATTTAGTTTAGTTCAAATTATAATGCATTATATAGGAATATAAAGTAAATGTAATATGAAAAGAATATAAAAATAAATAAAAGCAAAATTGAGAATGATGCGTAATACGGTATTATATATATACAAGGTGATATTTTTATCATAACTCACTCAATTACTTATAGAATAATAATAATAAAAAAAATAACGTGTAACATTATATAAACAATCAGTGACTGTGTTGTGAACGCACAACCTGCTAATATCAATGTCATAAAAAATCAATTAGCTACCTGTATTTGTAATCCCTTGTGTATTATACCTATATATTAACTCAAAAATTTGAAACTTTAAATGTTTATATCTAATAAACAAATTAAGTTTTATTAAAAATTCAAATGCCATTTATTATTGAATTAAAAACTCAAACATTTTATTAAATTAAAAATATGTGTTACCATTTAAAAAAACAAAGTTGACACCCTTACCAGGCATAAGGGATGAACTTAAAAAGTATTACATAGTTAATAATTCAAGAATAATGTGTAACTAAAGATAGTAATAAAAAAAAATTTTAATTATTATTATTCTGTAAGTAATTGAGTGGGTTATGATAAAAATATCACCCTGTATATTCTGTTATTATTTAAATAATAATATAAATGGATATTTTTATCATTTACCAACGAATAGTGAACAAAGTTGTAATCGACTTATGTTCTTATAGTATTAAAATAATATGTTATAAAATTATTCTTCAAGCGCTTTGGGTTCGTACATTATCCATTGACCCACAGGTTACTACGATCGTAAGAGAATAAAAAAGGCTATTTAAGCTAGTTCAAATGGTTATTTGTCTATTAAGTCATTTTTCTGTTTAAAAAAATTCAAAGTAAATACAACTTTATATTCAATTTAGATTAGATTCATATAATTTTTTTGAAAATCGGCGATCCCATCATCATGATTTCTCCTTGTAAGTTAGAAATTGACTTTTATTGTTGATAATATAGAAATATATTCTAACTATAATAAAAAAATTTTTTAGGATTTTAAGTTTCATAGGACAATAATAAGATATAATTGCGCTGATAAAACTAAAAAAATTTTAACTCGATAGGCCTGCAAATAATAGCAACAAGGGTTTTTTACTGTCCCTAACTTACTTAGCTTAATTAAATTAAGTTAATTAAAATTGATACTAATTAGAGAAAAACTTATTAAGGATTTAGGAATATGTATATATAATACATAAGTAGGGGAGAGTGTTGTACCTTGGCACCATTTTTATAAAAAAAATTCTAGTACCTTCAATTTTGAATATTAAATGTTCATTTTTAATATTCATTTAGACAATACANTTAGTTGGCCAACAAGATATATATTTATGATATTTAAAAAATTATATTGATAATATATTCAAGAAATATTTCAAGTTAAATATTCTATATTTATTTTAATTAATATATTTTCATAATATTTATAAACAAATATTTAAAAAGATATTTTTTAAGCACACTGTAGAAATATTTTCTGTGTAATATACTGTATTTATTCTCTTTAATATATTCTCAAAATATACATAAACAAATATTTAAAAAATTATATTGTGAGCATATTATGAAAATATTTCAATAGAATATATTTTTTATTATATTTATGAGATATTGTCACAATATTTTATTCAAAATATTTTAAAAAGTATTTTGTAAGAATATTTTGACAATATTAATATATTGAAATTGCTATGTGGGTANTATTATATTTATGAGATATTGTCACAATATTTTATTCAAAATATTTTAAAAAGTATTTTGTAAGAATATTTTGACAATATTAATATATTGAAATTGGGAGGGTGTCTTATTAAAATAATAATATCGTATTCATCGCACGACGAACATACACATACACAAAGATACAAGTATTTAAAACTAGAAAGAAAACACTGATATTCTATACGGCAAGGATAACAGAGGATCATACATACAGGGTTAAGTTAAAAAAAGACACAATGTGTTATTTCAATATTCTATAATGCACATTTCAAAAATACAATAAAATAAATTCATTGTGAACATAGTCTCCTTCGGTATGGGGCTGAGGGACTTCCCGAAAATTCAGATTACTCATACATAAACACTAATGTTCTACTTAACTAATTATAAACAAGCAAATGTTTAAAAATCATAAACACAATAAATAAACTACACAATTATACTTGTTGGGGCCAGGGGTACTAAATATTATAGTGCGTACCCGAACCGGCTAATTGCACCAATACCGATCAGACTGCGTAGTGTAATGTATGTAAATAGAATCACTGGAGGTGGGAGGGTTCGCCTGCGCAGCAACCAGTGATCTATGTAATGAAAGATGTGTTAGTGTGTATATATGTAATTGTGTACTATTAAACAAAATAAATAAATAATTTTAAAACTCTATAATAATCAACAATAACAATAATTAATTCAAATTACAACTGTAATAATAATAATTCATAAACCTAAATTTACATAAAATTAGACAATAATTATAAACTAATAATGGTAACTAATTGTTAACTTGATCACTTATAATGAAAGGACATTGAACAGTAAAAGAGACAATAATTTAAATTCCCCACAATAGAATTTAACAATTAGCCCTTCTGACTAATTAACTAAACAATATTTACAAGCTCTTATAGCTGTTGCATGCTGACCTTACGCCAACGATTAAGANAATATTTACAAGCTCTTATAACTGTTGCATGCTGACCTTACGCCAACGATTAAGAAGGAATAATAAATTAAATATGATACAAATTACACACACACTTAAACTGCTCAATAAATCACTATCAAATAAAACTTCAATAATCTTAATAAATGGTACTCATTAATAATTGTAACTGGCCAGCCACTGCTAAAACTAAGACACAAATTACATTTACACACAACTTTTTCTGAACACTTAGAGATTAATTGCAATGCAAGTTTCACAAATAAGTATAAAACATCACAGGAGACTAGAATGAATGAACAATGAAAGCCCTGGTGGGCACTATGAAACAACAATTGATGAATTTATAATCCAAAAAAGAACTTTTTGAGTATTCAACACTTAATTTTAATTAACAACAAAAAAAAAAACTATTTGAGTTTTTTCTGAGTGAAAAACAAAACAAAGAAAAAAATTGTAATTATTTTTTTTTGTTTTCCACAATGCTATATTACAAGAATTTCTGTGGCTATGTGTTGTGTGTGGTGTGTAGTGTGTAACAGCTGATCGGCTGGTAGTAGCGATGTCCACTACTACTTGAGTAGTAGGGAGTAGTCGCGTGATAACAATTAAACCGGTCCGAGTACANATGATTTATAGCATAAATCATGGTAACATAGTGTATTATTGCGGCTAAAAAAACCTTTCATCCATTCCTTTTCAGCTTCAGATTTATCCCATTCTTTCACATGTTTACCATTACTAACTGCAAACTGATATGCTAATTTTCTAGTATCAGTTTTGGTAAGACCATACTGTAACTTCGCAGACATTTTTAAGTATTCGACTAATTCTTTTTCATCATATACTGTGAATACTTGTCGATGATAAATGTTGGATATGTTCTTATAAGTATCAGTATTCAAACTCTTGAACAATTTAATGTGCCGTAAAAATGTGGTTTTAGATACATTATAAATACTCACAGCTTCTGATAGTGTTAGATTCTTTGCTTGAACATTAATAACAGCACACTCCAAATCAGTTTAATTGGGTAATACTCTTTTAATACCTTGTTTGCTTCTAGGCATTTTAACTGTACTAATCTACAAGCAATTAAATAATAATTCGTAATGAAATATTAATTTATGAACAATTAATCGTTGGTGGTCCAAGGTACAATTTTTTTTCGGTCCAAGGTACATTCAAGTTCTATTTTAAATAATTATTCTTTTGGGAATTTTGTACATTTATATTGTAACAAAGGACCACACCATTCAATTAAATACAATATTTAATATAGGTAAACACTTACCTTATTAATTTGAGTTGAAAAATTAGAACATAATAAATTATATTTAAAATTTTAAAAATTGTTTTTTTTTTAATAAGTAAGGGTTTGCAGCTTATAAAAAAAATACCCGCATTTTTCTATCATTATCTAAATTATCACTTATAAAACATAAAACTTTTAATCAGAATATATATAAGGAAATAGGAAATCATGTAGCTTTTGGAATAATCCATTCATTTTTTAAAATTAAGCATAATCTACAGATATTCATCGAAGCGTTTATTATGATAGTCATTTTAATCACTGTGAGATATCATCTATACCCTCGGTGGGCTATTGGGCTGGCGGGTCAGATCGGGTATGGACGTCGACGCATTCGAGACGGGCTTGCTGCCCGCTCAATGATCGGCGCCCGCGGTACCGTACCGGCAGGTCTCCGCGAACGAAATGGCTGAAGAGTTGGACCTGAGGGTCTGAGAAAACACGCTTGTGGTGGCGGAAGGCGCCTCGTCGGAGGAGGCTGGATCTCGTGTGAACTGCGCGCTCAGCGCAGTCACCGCCTGGATCCAGCAGGAGGGAAATGGATTGAGCATCGCCCTGGACAAGACCGAAGCGGTCTTGTTCACGGGGAGGTACAAGTACACTACTCCATGACTCGCCGTGCTGGGGATGGAGATCTCGCTTAAGGACTCCATTACTTATCTGGGCCTGATCATAAATAAACATCTAAAGTTCAGGCTATACATTACTCGTGCAGCCCAGTGGGCCCAGAAAGTCATGAATTCCCTGGCGAGACTCATGCCCAATCTGGGAAGGCTGTGGGAGTTGCGGCGCACACTATTAGTCAGCGTCATACACTCGGTTCTCCTGTATGGGTCCTAGGTTCGGGCGGATACTCTTGAGTATTCGTCCAAAAACCGTGAAGCCCTGCTTAGGGTGCAGAGACGGGAGGCGATCCGTTTCGTTACAGTTTCGGCGTACCGAACAGTGTCCGGAATGGCGGCGGGTATCCTGTTACTGCCGCCGAGAACGCGGCCGGCACCTCGTACCCAATAACCGACTAGCGCTCAGGCCGTTCACTGACTCCGTCTTGAAAAAGGAGGAGGGAGCGGAGCGCCTGAGACAGAGGAAGCTACGTCACCCGGCAAAGGAGGACCCGAGGCGCTGGTTTAGACCTGTACCTTAGGTTCTTATTTATGTGTTTTATGATTTGTTTTTGAGTTATTTTGCCAACACTCCCTAACGGTTCCCCCGCTGTAATCCGGCTAATGGAAGGGGCCACACCACGTTGTAAATCAGTCCTTGATATATTTCGGGCTAATTCACAACGTGGTGGTGTGAATTATTAAGACGGCGTGGGCCACTCGGAAGTAATGCCCAACAGCAGTTCCAGGGTGGCGCACAATTAGCCGGTCGTAGAAACACTTTATGAAACCAATCTGTAAATATTATTTGATTCATTCAAGCACTTTGTGTATAATAATTCACAGGTAGTGTATTTAAATTTTAATTGTTAAATGCACATGGTTTTTTGGATTTTCCTATCACCAGCAAAGGTAATTTATTATTGCCATTTGCATTTGCACAGACCATAGCAGTGATCCGATCGTTTTGATCCTTAAAACTTGAAGCTATTTTTTCCGAAAATGATGCCAGTGTTTGTTGTGGTAAAGCTTTTTTATTGAATCCAGTTTCATCACGGTCATAAACTTGTTCTCTAACAAGTTTAAGTTCAGATTGTATTTTAAATTTGAACTGTTCCTTGAATTCAGCAACAACTGCGCAATTTGTATTAAGTTTCTCTCCACTAATATCTAGTTGTCGAATGCCGTGACGAAACTTAAACTTATCAAGCCATCTTATACTTTCTTTAAAGTTTGGATCGCCATTTAGTTTTTAGCTTCGATGCGAAAAAAAATAGAACTTTTTCAACTTAACTTTTAAAAGTGTTCCGGAAATACTGCGTCCTTTAAACATATATCAAATTAAAGCTTATTTTATGTACTATAAAATAACAAAAAAAAANCACAATGCTATATTACAAGAATTTCTGTGGCTATGTGTTGTGTGTGGTGTGTAGTGTGTAACAGCTGATCGGCTGGTAGTAGCGATGTCCACTACTACTTGAGTAGTAGGGAGTAGTCGCGTGATAACAATTAAACCGGTCCGAGTACACACTTTAAGTTAACAACTGAAATGTTGTTAACAATACTACACATATTACATTACCCTTTGTTATTGGGAAAATAAGCCCTAATATTTTTCGTTATATCCATAAGAAATCGTTTTTATTAAGTTAAAGCAATTCATTTTACTTAATTTCAAAAAATTTTTACCAACGACTGAGTACTTTTTATGTAATTGCTTCTTTAATTAAATTTAGTTAATAAGTTTAATAATCATATTTTATATTTAAATCAGCGACAAAATTTTAATATTTCTATTTTTTTCCAATTTGTTTAAAATTAAAAAAAAATTATAAATTATCATTTTAGCTTGTTATTAAAAATATAATGTTAACTTAAATGCATGGTCTGAATTGTATGCGTTGACATAAATATTTTCCAAGGCATCTTTCATTTTTAAATTTTTTGTCAACAGAAAAAATAATAGTAATAAAAGTGATAAAGTTTGCACAATTTGTGAATTAATTTAATAATATTTTTATTTTGTCAAATTTTTTTTCGCTGTATTTTGATGTACTTTTGTAATCCATTTTTGTATTCTTATACCATTCGTTTTTAATTTCATACTTAAATACTAATGTATTACATAACTAATTAAAAACAAGTAAACGTTCATAGTCATAAACAAAATAAATACATTACATAACTATACTACACATACTACAACTGGCTATCGTTGAAAAACGTTAATAGAGACTACATTTATTAATGCCTCGCGAATATTACCGTTGTAATTCATGTTCTGTTTTAATCTTATCTAATTTATTCCTCTTAAAAATAATTTTTCCCACAGTTACTACTTTACAAAAACATTGTTTTTGTACCTGACCCAATACGCATTATATGCCTTATTGAAATCATCGGTGTTTAATAATATTTCTATCTTTTCTACAAATTTTGTTACTTGTATATCTATAAATCGAATACAATAAGCTAATATAAATTAGTTTGAATTTTATATACAGTTTAATCATAAGTTAAATACTTTAAATAAATATAATCATATAC